AGGAGTAGTCCCAGAAAATTGGAAGTTAGCGAATGTTGTGCCCATTCACAAGTAAGGTAGTAGGGAGGAGTTGAGCAACTATAGACCAGTAAGCCTTACTTCAGTAGTGGGGAAACTAATGGAAACCATGTTAAAGGATATGATTATTGAACATCTAAAAACACATGGATTTCAAGATCAGAGACAACATGGGTTTACCTCGGGGAGATCATGCCAAACTAATCTTATTGATTTTTTTGATTTGGGTAACTAAAATAATAGATTAGGGTGGTGCAGTAGACATTGCTTACCTAGATTTCAGTAAGGCTTTTGACAATGTTGCACATAGAATGCTTATCAATAAATTGCAATCTTTAAGTTTGGATTCCAATATTGTTGAATGGGTAAGACAGTGGTTGAGTGACAGGCAACAGAGGGTTGTAGTCAGTGGAGTATATTCAAAGCATGGGCTTGTCACCATTGGGGTACCTCAGGGATCTGTACTTGAAACCATTCTCTTTATTATTTTTACTAGTAATATTGCAGAAGGTCTTGATGGTAAGGTATGTCTTTTTGCTGATGATACTAAGATATGTAACAGGGTTGATGTTCCAGGAGGGATAAGCCAAATGGCAAATGATTTAGGTAAACTAGAAAAATGGTCAGAGTTGTGGCAACTGACATTTAATGTGGATAAGTGCAAGATAATGCATCTTGGACGTAAAATCCCAAGGGCAGAGTACAGAATATTTGATAGAGTCCTAACCTCAACATCTGAGGAAAGGGATTTAGGGGTGATTATTTCTGATGACTTAAAGGTAGGCAGACAATGTGATAGAGCAGCAGGAAATGCAAGCAGAATACTTGGTTGTATAGGGAGAGGTATTAGCAGTAGAAAGAGGAAAGTGCTCATGCCATTGTACAGAACACTGGTGAGACCTCACTTGGAGTATTGTACACAGTACCGGAGACCGTATCTCCAGAAGGATATTGATACTTTAGAGAGAGTTCAGAGAAGGGCTACTAAACTGGTTCATGGATTGCAGGATAAAACATACCAGGAAAGGTTAAAGGGACTTAACATGTATAGCTTGGAGGAATAACAAGACGAGACAGGGGGGATATGATAGAAACATTTAAATACATAAAGGGAATCAACACAGTAAAGGAGGAGACTATATTTAAAAGAAGAAAAACTACCACAACAAGAGGACATAGTCTTAAATTAGAGGGGCAAAGTTTAAAAATAATATCAGGAAGTATTACTTTACTGAGAGGGTAGTGGATGCATGGAATAGCCTTCCAGCTGAAGTGGTAGAGGTTAACACAGTAAAGGAGTTTAAGCATGCGTGGGATAGGCATAAGGCTATCCTAACTATAAGATAAGGCCAGGGACTAATGAAAGTATTTTAAAAAATTGGGCAGACTAGATGGGCCAAATGGTTCTTATCTGCTGTCACATTCTATGTTTCTATATTTATTAAGGTAAGCACTGCTTTCAACCAATAATCACTTAAATAACAGTGCTAAATAACCTAAAGTCTCATGAGTGGACAGTTTTCCCTTCAGTATAATATCATTAGTTTAGTGACCCTTAATAGATAAAAATTCACTAGTGGATTATGATAAGCTCATCCATCTAAGCTTGCAGAAGAGAACAGCGCCGCCAATACTTAACAATGGCATCATTTTCTGAGTCTTTATAAGACATGTGTGAAATCATCTACCTAGGAATCTCAGTTGCAGAATGCATTAGACTGACTGTGGTAGTGAATGAGTCAGTGGAAGATTCTTTGCCCAGAATGTCAAAGTTGTGGTATTAAATGTAGATTTCCAATTCTGAATCATAGAGATGCCGCAATCTACTACCACAAGTAGAAAATTATTCCAAAATCAAAGTGTGCATTGCATTATTTTCTACATTCAGTATTGTATTCAGCATTGTGTTCATTTAAGTAATATTGTCTGAACATACATTTCTATGTTTAAAACATAGGTGTTCCTAAAGGTGTGTACCTAGGCACAGCCTGATGTTAGGCCAGACTGTCCTTCTCATCGATTGTTTAGGTCTTTGTGGGAACTTTTGTGTGAGTTTGGATTGGCTTATTATGTTTTTCAAGAAAACCTCTGCATACACTAACCAAACTGGCATTAGTCAACAATGATAATTATTAGTTATGCGTGCTGGGAATTAAATGACGTAGTTCGGTTGACCTCCTATGAATATTTTATTGATATTCCACCACAGATATGAATGTAATATTACATTAATACAAGATTGTTTTGCAGTAAAATTGCTATTGATGACAAGCTTAAAGGAAACTTTAATGATACTGGTTAGGATACCTTTTAAATGAAAACTTCAGGCTGGAGTTTCTCCATGCCCCCTCCTGCTATCATGGTAGACACAACATGACATTTTATGCTTTAAATAGTAATGCTATCTATATATCCTTCCCAACCTGTCAATCAGTTCTTTGCACGGTTTATTCTGACTTTTGAGTGATCGGTAGAGCAGAGAACCCTAATAGAGATTATCCTGCTTTACATCACAGCAGCAAGCACTTGGGAATTAAGGAATGGAAATACTGATGTCATTCCGTTCTCATGTTGATATTCTGGCAAAGAAGCCTGTGTGGTAGTACATAATGGTGTTATACCACAGTCCTCTGAGCATCCCATTAATAGCTCTTAATGGGCAGTAACAGATTAATAGCTTTTAAAAATATATAATTTAGCTTTATGACAAAGTGTGTGACTATCTGTCGTGATATGTTCACTATAAAGCATTAGAAAAAATAAGCAATAACAAATATACTCACAGGCTCTATCGCTTCCACAGGGACCAAGACATTTAAAAAGCAATTGGCAGCTGAGCCCAGTTTTTATTTATTTTTTTCCATGTGACCACTGTGCATATCACCCTTCCGACAAAAACAAACAAGCATGCACAACCAGAGTTTATGGCATATTGACAGTCCCAGTTGCACAACCTCAAGCTAATAGAAGCCACTAGGCATTTAATATTATCTGAACAATTCTAGCCCCTCTGAAATCTCTTCACAGATCCATAGGTATGCCCCTCCTCGTTCCCTCCGCTCTGCCCGTGACCACCTCCTGACCGCTGCTCGCACCCGTACGGCCAACTCGCGCTTGCAGGACTTCTTGCGCGCGGCTCCTTTCTTATGGAATAGCCTGCCTACCCCCATTAGACTCTCCCTTGGTCTTCAATCCTTTAAGAAGTGCCTTAAAACCCATCTCTCTAGGAAAGCTTATGGCCTCCCAGAGTAACCTCTACTTTACATACCTGCCTCTTGCTCTATCCTAAAGGGCAGCACTATACTCTATCCTCCAGCTCTGCTTCACTCCCACCTTATTTGACTGATATTTCCTGTCCTAACGTGTCTTATACCCCACCTCCTATAGACTGTAAGCTTGTTTGAGCAGGGTCTTCTTCAACCTATTATTCCTGTAAGTTTTCTAGTAATTGTCCTATTGATAGTTACATCCCCCCTCTCATAATATTGTAATGCTCTACGGAATCTGTTGGCGCTATATAAATGGCAATAATAATAATATTAGTTTGTGTGGATAGCTTTTGTGTTTTCCTTGAGAAAAATATGAGAACACTGAATGTATTCCACAGCAGATGTTTATGATAAACAGATGTTTTTTTTATTCCTCTGCTTCATCATGATCCTAAACAGGGCTGCCATCAGAAATTTTGGGGCCCCTGACACAGCTCAAGGTCTGGGCCCCCCGGTGCCCGCACCCGAGTCCACCCAAAGTGCTGTCCCCGAGTCCGCCACAGGAATGCAGTGTCTGCAGGGCCGGTGCAAGGATTTTTGCCGCCCTAGGCAAAAGTAAAGTTTGCCCCCCCATGTGACATCACAATGCCCCACCCATATGATCTGCCATGTTAACTAACACCAGTGCTGCAGTGCCGCCGTGTTTACATTAAAAGGCCTGCAGGGACAGGCTAGACACCAGAACCACTACATTAAGCTGTAGTGGTTCTGGGGACTATAGTGTCCCTTTAATGTGAGGTAAATTAGAGATTAGTGCCACAAATAATATACTAGATTGCCTACTTACAACCAGATGAGGATGATGATGGGCTCTAGCTGCAGTCTGGCTCCACTGGTCTGGTGTAGAACAGGCTCTCTGGAGGCGTTTTGTAACTGTGGTCACAAAAATCAATGTTCTGGGATCAACGGGAATCAGCTCCATTTTTTTGAGGGCCCTTTACACAGCTCAAGGTCTAGGTCCCAGGGTCCACCTTCATGTTCCACCAATGAGTTTGTTCACAGTGGGTGGAGTGTGTGTGGGGGGGGATGTCCTGATGTGTGTAAGGAATGCATTGTGTGAATCTGTGTTTGTATGTGTAAGGGCTGCAAGGTGAGTTTGTGTATGTATGGGATGCAGTGTGTGCGTCTGTAAGGGATGCATTGAGTGTGTGTAAGGGGTGCATTGTGTGTGTGGTGGAGTGTGTGTGGGGGGGATGTCCTGATGTGTGTAAGGAATGCATTGTGTGAATCTGTGTTTGTATGTGTAAGGGCTGCAAGGTGAGTTTGTGTATGTATGGGATGCAGTGTGTGCGTCTGTAAGGGATGCATTGAGTGTGTGTAAGGGGTGCATTGTGTGTGTCCTGGGGGGCCCGGACTGCTCAGGTCGTCCGGGCCCCACATTAAGTGGGTACATACCGGGTCGCAGGGGGCCCTGCGACCCCGGTATGTACCCACAGGGCCAGCCTCTTCTCCTGGGGGGCCCAGCAGCCGGTCACATCAGGGCCCCCCAGAGGCTGGCCCTGAAAGCCGGCGGGCGCGTGAGGGAGCACTCTCCTCTGCTGCTTCCTCTTCAGCTCCCTTGCGCACCGTACTGAAGCCGGAGCCGGAAGATGACGTCATCTTCCGACTCCGGCATCAGTACGCGGCGCGCGAGGGGGCTGAAGAGGAAGCAGCAGAGGAGAGTGCTCCCTCGCGCGCCGGCCCGCCGGGGGGTGGGGGGGGAGGAAATTTAAGGGAGGAAGGGGGGAAAGGGAGGGAGGAAGGAAATGGGAGGGAGGGGGAGGAAGGAAATTGGAGGGAGGGGGGGAGGAAAGAAATTTCCTTCTCCTTCTCCCCCCTCCAATTTCCTTCTTCTCCCCCTCCCTCCCTCCAATTTCCTTATTCTCCCCCTTTCTCCAATTTCCTTCTTCTCCCCCCTCTCCAACTTCCTTCTCCCCCCTCAAATTTTCTTCCCCCCACTCCCCCAAATTTCCTTTTCCCCCCCAAATTTCCTTCCCCTCCCTCCCTCAAATTTCCTTCCTCCCCCTCAAATTTCCTTCCCCTCCCTCCCTCAAATTTCCTTCCTCCCCCTCAAATTTCCTTCCTCTCCCCCCTCAAATTTCCTTCCTCCCCCCCCTTAAATTTCTTTCCTCCCTCTCCCCTCAAATTTCCTTCCCCCTCCCTTCCTCAAATTTCTTTCCTCCCCCTCCCTGCAATTTTCCTCCCCCTCCCAAAATTTCCTTCATCCCCCTCCCTCCTCCAGTTTCCTTCCTCCCCCTCCCATAAATTTCCTTCATCCCCTCCCTCCTCCCTCCCTTAATTTCCTTCCTCCCCTCCAATAATTTCTTTCCTCCCCCCCTCCCTCCAATTTCCTTCCTCCCCCTCCCTCCCATTTCCTTCCTCCCTCCAATTTCTTTCCCCCCTTCCTCCCTTAAATTTCCTCCCCCCCCACCCCCCGGCGGGCCGGCGCGCGAGGGAGCACTCTCCTCTGCTGCTTCCTCTTCAGCCCCCTCGCGCGCCGCGTACTGATGCCGGAGTCGGAAGATGACGTCATCTTCCGGCTCCGGCTTCAGTACGGTGCGCAAGGGAGCTGAAGAGGAAGCAGCAGAGGAGAGTGCTCCCTCACGCGCCCGCCGGCTTTCAGGGCCAGCCTCTGGGGGGCCCTGATGTGACCGGCTGCTGGGCCCCCCAGGAGAAGAGGCTGGCCCTGTGGGTACATACCGGGGTCGCAGGGCCCCCTGCGACCCGGTATGTACCCACTTAATGTGGGGCCCGGACGACCTGAGCAGTCCGGGCCCCCCAGGACCGCCGGGCCCATGACAACCGTTACGGTTGTCATGCCCTGATGGCGGCCCTGATCCTAAATAAAAAGGATGAATCCAGGGTTAAGGCCATCAATTTAGTTAGACATTATATGCAATGTCTTTGTGTTATTTATATTTTGTGCTAGTGGTTCACTTATGATAAGCAGCCCAGATGACTTTCTAAACTAGACCAAATTATACTTCCCTTATCTTATTTTTAAGGTAAGGAAGATACAAGTATGACGTGAGTAGGTGAGATAGTAACAACCAATTTACTTATTTTGTCCAGATCTTTCTGATACAGGTGGTGTTTGAGAGATATTAAACCATTGGAACCCACTGGAGCATGGGATGACCACCTAGTTTGGCAATGGGATGTTGTTCAGATGTATTCCTGAACTGATATAGTTTACTAAGACAGTCTGTCTGTAGATGATTTAATCATCTTTATTGTAGGAATGTACATCACATCTTCTTTATTTGATGTAACCTTAAGATTATCGTTGGTTTGACGTATTTTATTCTTAATTTATATTTCCATTGCACGAAAAGCACGAATAGTAAACTACAGTTATCATTAAAAGGTCATTGCTTTACATATAGGTATAATTCTAGTAACATCATTATGTTCTCTTCTTGACCCAAGTTCTAATGATTTACAGTAATTAAATCTGTTTCACATATGGAAAGCCATGTGACTTTGTAAGCATGCTGTAGCATATGTGTTCGACATAGGACACTTGTATACGATATTTCAATGAGTGAGAGAGATGGATAGATAGTGCATTTTTACCACGATGGTATTGTTTATAAACTTCCCTTTTCTAAACTCTAATCTTCAATGCTATTGACATTTGATTTCATGATTCACGATTATTATTGTTTTCCTTAGTGAAAGATATTCAATGTCAAGTAGTGGTACCCTAATTTTCAGTCTTAGAAATTTTTCTATCTGCACCCTTCAAGGTTTGTGAGTATGCAGAGTCAACAATGAAAAAAATATGGTCTAAGAAAAATTGTGTTACTGCAAACATAAGTAACAAAAGAATGAAAAGGCGTCTAACCTCTTCATGATGTGGGTAGGATCTTGGCACTGAACTCAAACGTACAGCTTGTGTTCTGAACATCTGGAGCTGACAAGCTGTTGAGTGAAATTATGGATGACTTATAAAGCAGAGAATTCCCTTTGTCACATAACTAATCTATTTGAATTAAGATATACATCTGATCTTACTTATGTAACAAGGAGGTTGTTCACTATTCTGCACAATTCTGCTTGCCAGATTATTTGAGAAGAGCAAATATCATCTAATTTATTTGTGTAAACTCTACATTTGGTATTTATGTGGTTTTATATATGCAGTCATGTATTTTTATATATAAAGCCTCTTTGAATTCTATGATTTACATATCAGGACATAATAACAATTATCTGTGCCTGAGCAAGGTAAATACAACCTCAGATAAACAACAACACATTACATCGTGTCGTGATTTATTTAACAAAAACAATCACAATGGAATTTATATTTCCATTTCACATCGTTGTGGATCGATCCACTATTCTTTACAACGTTGCTTCAGTTCATTGAGGTTTTCTGGCATTTGTTTATGCACAGCTCTAATAAGGTCCAGCCATGACATTTCAGTTGGGCTTTGACTGAGCCATTGCAACTCCTTGACTCTTTTCTTTTCCAGCCAGTCTGTTTTAGATTTGCTGGTGTGCTTGGGATCATTGTCATGTTGCATGACCCAGTTTCAGCCAAGCTTGAACTGTTGGACAGATGGCCCCACATTTGCCTGTAGAATACTGTGGTACACAGAGGAGTTCATGGTCGACTCAATAACTGCAAGGTTCCCAGGTCATGTGGCTGCAAAACAAGCCCAAATCATCACACCTCCACCAACGTGCTTGACAAGTGGTATGAGTTGTTTGTGCTGATATGCTGTGTTTGGTTTTTCGCAGGTATTACGCTGTGCATTATGGCCAAACCTCTCCACTTTGGTGTTGTCTGTCCATAGACATTGTTCCAGAAGTCTTGTGGTTTGTTCAGATGAAACTTTGCAAACCTAAGCTGTGCTACCATGTTCTTTTTAGAGAGAAGAGGTTTCCACCTGGTTTTAACCCCTTCAGCCCCATGGGAGGGGGGCACAGAGGGGGGAGGCACTGCAGTTTTGCTTTCCTGGCACTACAGGATCCCTTTAAGTTTTATATTAGAGTAGGGCATAATTTTATTATAGTTAGGGTCAGGGTCAGGCTCTAGAAAAATTCAAACTAGGCATATTTTAATCACAGTGGGAAGTGATGTTGTGCCATCACAAATGACAGGCATGCCCCCCACCCCCTGAAAAGTGAGCATGTTGGCTCCATGCTCTTCCAGGGCAGCCCATGCGCAGAGGAACTCTGACATGAGAAAAAGGCCCTGTATTTGTCCAGCGTCGCACATGCAGATTTACTGACACTGTTGCACTACATTTGCTTGTGACTTGTCTCTGGTGTCTCCATAAATAAGATGCCAGAAAGGTGTATTGTGCATGTGTTTGGAGGCTGCTTTTCAGATTGTGTTTGTAGAGTGAGCTGATTGTTGTGTGGTGTTTTGTGTAAATAGGTTGGCTTCAGTTGTGTTGCAGTGTAAAATGTGTTGGTAGGAGTGCTGTAGTGTGTGGCTAGAGGGCATAGTTTGTTTATAAGGGATGCAGCGAGTATATGCATAGGGGCTGTAGTGTATGTCTGCATAGGTGACATAGTTTATGTAGTGGTTGTAGATAAAGTGTGTGTTTAGGGAATGTAATGTGTGATTTTGTGTACAGGGAGTCCAGACTGTGTGTGGGGATGGAGGGTGTACATCAGGAGTCTAGTGTGTGTAGTGGTGCACTGTGTCTCTATAGGAGATCTAGTGTCTATAGGGGATGTAATGTGTGTATGAGGAGTGCAATGTTGTGAGGGGTGTAATGTGTATAGGGGTGAGGGGTGCAGTGTGTGACTTTGTTGGGGCCTATATTGTGTGTGGGGAATGGATGGATCAAGTACATTTTATTGATTTCTTATTTTTCTTGTGATAAACACAAACAAAATGTTGCAAGCCCTAGTGATATGGTGACACCCTCCTGCACATAAAATGTATGTTAACAGAAGGTTTGGTAAAAATATTTTAAAAAATATTACATGTATTTGTGTGTGTACATGTGTCAGTGTGTGTATCTAAGTGTGTGTCAGTGAGTCTATATGTGTGTCAGTGTGTGTGTGTGTGTCAATGTGTATATATATCTGTGTAAGTATGTATGTGGCAGTGTATGTGTATATGTGCATAAATCCAAGCATGCAAACACCAACACTACAACACTACACGCAAACACACCCATGCAGTAACACATTTCAAATAAACACACTCCTGTACGAAAATGGCAAAATTATATACAAACACCCCTTCATCCAAACACCAACACTGCACACAAAAGTACACTTGCATTTAAGCTAACTACATACAAACACACCCCTGTATTCAAATGCAAATGTTACATATTTAAACAAATGGAGGTTATTTAGTTTCTCCAATGGCCATGAGAGACTTTAGCCCACCTGCCACGTCAAGGCAAACTTCTCAGGTGTATGTATTGGGGCTAATGTGTACTATGGTTGTTGTGATGGGAGTTTGAGCGCAGGACTTGTTTTTTTTGTAGTAACATAGAAGTACATCACTGTATTCCAGTGGTAGCAGTACACACAAATACACCCCAAATGTACACACACACATTCCATACAAAAGGATGATTAAATTAAAATGCACACACAGTGCTCATAAATAAAACCCTATACAAATGGGCAAATTATAGATCCCCAGCTGGCATAGCATTGTGGGTGTTGTATGACATGTGTGGATCTACCTTTGGATCTGGCCACACTTGCACTAGAGGTTCTGCCATTGGTCAGGGTTTTTCACTAAAGTTAGAATTCAAAGTGAATTTAAAATGTAAACACGATAGTCACCAGAACAATTAACGCTTATTGGATTTGTTCTGGTGAGTATAATCATTACCTTCAGGATTTGCAGTAAACACTGTCTTTTCAGAGAAAAGGCAGTGTTTAAATTTCAGCCTAGGGATACCTCCACCGG